TAGGCATATATTAAAGAGTTTAATTGTTAATAATTTAATCCCTTTTGTTTGTGGTTTTGCACTCCCTTTTCATTTATAATAGTCACATCGCAGCTGTCTTCTCTTCTGTCTTCCATACTGCTGCTTCTGGAATTAGAGATGTTTGGAACATCCATTAGTGTATCAATACCAGGTCTTGAGCGTGGTACTGTCAGTGTTAGGCACAGCTGTTCTTTGTAACACTTGGTTTCAAGATCGTACATTCTGCATATAGTTAAATGAATACAACAGAATTTTATTTGCTTGTTTTGGTTTTTCACCTGGAAGAGAGTAAAGATTTTACTGTCTGTTAAATACTAGAGAACAGAATACTAGAGAACAGAATTCGTAAGCTAAATCCATTTTGTTATTTTGGGCTGAGAAAACACTTTGCGGAGGTACAAAGTAGCAAGTTCTCTCTTTTAGCCTCATTTTTTTTCTTGTGTTTAATCTTATTCTTTAACTACTTGTGTACACTATGTGTGTGTATATTTGTACTTTTTCACACTGTAGTTACTTCTAAACCTGACCCTTGAGCTGGAGATCAGTGTTTGCTCAGTGCAATTTTCAGTTGACAGCCAAGCAGAAAAGAAATGAACGTAGCAGGCATATCTTTCTGAAACAAACCCAAACCTCTCCCATTCCCATTTTTTGAAAAACTGTAACTAGTGGCATCTCCATTTGCAAAAAAAACTGATCCAGTCAGGTTTTATAACAATTACAAAACCAATCTGTAATCTCTTAGGCTGCGTGTCTAACAGTAAGGGGGTTTATTTATATAGCTTTGTAGATTGAAATCCTGTATTTGTATTAAAAACCCAGGTTTTTGAAGATCAAATTGATTCTGGAGCATTCTTTTTTTGTGTATGAACTGCCTTTGGCACTGAAGTTGACTTACTGAGCTGAAAGTTCAAATACAAAGTATATAAATGTTAGAAACGCCTTTAACATTCAAATATAAAGGCAGAAATACTTGCCAGCCTTATTGTAAAGAGGTAATGAGTTTATACAAGCTTTGATTACATCTTGTTTCAAAGAGGCAGGACAGCTTTATCAAGAATGGTTATTACATTCAGATATGTCTGCTTTATTATTATGTGTTACTAATTATATTTCAACGTGCTTGCCTTGAATTAGAAAATAATATAAAGGTAAACAGAAGAGGACTTGACGGCATTTGAAGTATTAAGAAAATTATTTTTTTTCTTCTCTTCTTAATAGCTGCATCCCAGAGAAGATGCCTGCACACCCAATGCCAACTATGGTGTTCTTTTAATAGAGTTTTTTGAATTATATGGACGTCACTTCAATTATCTGAAGACTGGAATCCGAATAAAGGATGGTGGCTCTTACGTTGCCAAAGACGAAGTGCAAAAAAGCATGCTAGATGGCTATAGACCATCCATGCTGTATATTGAAGATCCATTACAGCCAGGTATCCTCACAAACCATGCTTTTCTGTGTTGACGAAGAGAATGCTAAATTCAAGAGTTAAACCAAGGAATAGTGTAGTGACCACCAAAAATCTTAAGAAATTGCTTGTGTCTGAGAACACAAGATGCACTCAGTGTTGTGATTTTATTCATTTATTTGTTTATTTATTTTAAATGCTCCTAGCAAATTCTATCTTGCTATCCAAGAGTGTGCCTATGGTTCTGTCAGGAAATTTAAGTATAAAAAGGCACACCAACCAACTTTACAGTCCTCAAGAGTTGTGACAGCGATATAGCTACAGGAATGCAGGCATGCATACGGGCTGGCTGTGTGTGCATACCTCCCTTCCAAGCCTGTGCCTGCCTCTGTCGCAGTTGCACCTTCCTGCTTCACAGTATATGCTTATGCCCATTCTTCTCATTCACAGAATCACAGAATTGTAGGGCTTGGAAAGGACCTCTGGTGATCATCTTGTCCAGCCCCTTCTCTGTGATTCTTTAGCAATTGTAATCTGTCTTTTTACTTTTATGTTAAATTCAGTTGTTAACATGAATGCTGGACTCCAAAGTTGGAAATGAAGTGCTGTTTTAGAAAAGAGTGTACGTTTGTCCAATCTGTCGCCCAAGATAGTAGTGTTACATTTGTAATACATGCAGCACCTGATTTTTATTTCTGTTTGTATTTTTAGTCCTGTATTGAGCTTTTACTCTTTTTGACTTCCGTACATGTAAATATCTGTAGTAGTCTTGCACTGTAAATGTTTAACTGTAGTGAGATGGAACTTACGGACAGTTAAAAAAAAACAAAAACAAAAAAACGTAACTGTCCCCTGTTGGAAAGCAGATAATCATGGTTTCAGTTTCACATATTCATTTATATTCTTATTTTAAGGTAATGACGTTGGCAGGAGTTCATATGGTGCCATGCAAGTGAAACAGGCTTTTGATTATGCCTATGTTGTTTTGAGCCACGCAGTTTCCCCAATAGCTAAATATTATCCCAACAACGAAACTGAAAGGTAAATTTTATGAGTCTAAATCTCAGACGTTGATTGCTTATGTTCTTGTGTACCTGAAATTAATTGTTTGGAGTTTTTTCTTTTCTCCTGGTTTACAGTATATTAGGTAGAATCATTAGAGTAACACAAGAAGTGGCCACCTACAGAGACTGGATATCAAAGCAGTGGGGAATGCAAAGTAGGACTGACTCTTCGTGTAATGGTAAGATTTGACTAAGCATACAGGATAGAGTTCCTGTACATTTTGACTATGTGCATTTTTTTGTTGCTTCTGCTCCACATAAGGTGATGCATACATCTTAATATAAGTTTATTTGCAAAGTGGAGATGGATTTTCTTGTGTTTTCACCCAGAAAATTTAAACTTCTGCAAGAAAGGTTGTATCATAGCATCACTATTCTACAGTGTTAGATTTGGTCAGTATGGGAGGTCTGTAAACAGTGCTGGCTTGCGAAACTAAGCTCCTGACAAACATGAGATTTAAATCACATGTTGTTATTGTCACACTTCCTTTGTGGGTAGTGTTTGAAAAGTAATTATTAGGAATGTTAGTTAAAATCCAAATCTTTACCTTTTGTTCATCTTTTATTTTTAATGTTTAACATAATGTCTATCTACAGAAGCAGTATTTAAACAAGCATTGACCACATAAGTAAAATAAGTCCTTAAAACAGAAATAAGACTTGTGATTGATATTTTGTTATTACTAACAAATGGAAACACACAAGATCTGTATAGAGATCTTGTTGAAAAGTGTGTTTTAAAATAATCTTTGTTTTCATTGCCCAGTAACAAGTTGTCACTCTCTTTGGGTGTAGGTGTATGTGCTAGCTGGAAATTTTCAAATTAATTACAGTACTCTACAATTAATTTTAGAATGTTAGCTACCAGAAGTCTTCTCCAGTTAGCCATTAAATCAGAGAAGACACACAAATACTGGTCTTCAGGCTAGGCTGGGGTTTTATTTGCTTTTAAAGATATTTTTAGTGATTTCCCCAATGGCCCCCAGTGGGCCATTTCTGTTTTACCTCTCTGTAGATCTCTGTGGCACTGCTGTACCACTGGCAATGGCAGTCAACCGCAGTTTGGTCCTGCAAGCTCCGTAGCATGACTTATCTGCCTCTTGAGACGTATGAAGCTGTATATAAATAAAGCTAGTGGTGCAATAAACGTGTATTACATAATTCTATTAGAAAGCCAGTTCAATCTAAGTTGTCCAGAAAAGCCTGACAGCCTTTAATGTGGATACTGGTTACTGAGGAAGAAGCAGAGGTAACTCCAAGGTGCAATGTATGGGACAAAGCAATTATTTAGTAATAATACCCTTATATTAGGAAGGTAATGGTGACAGTTGCAATGTTCACCTGGCAGGTTTAGTTTAGATTAAAGTTCTGATTCTTTTTATTTATTAAAGTAGAAGTTAAGAAATAAGAGTTCTTTGTCTTGTATTTTCAGTTGAGGGAGTTATACAAAGCCAATGAGAATTAGTTGAAGTTCTTATGACCCTAGCAGCTCCAGTAGGAGCTTCAACTCCAGCTGGGAGTTGCTGAATGCTGAGTGCATAGGAACAGTATTTAGACCTAAAATAAAGCTAAATATAGAGTGCTGTTTAAGCATGTTATAAAGCACTTCTGTTAATCCACACATCTGGGCTCTGTTGACTTCCCTCTTCCACACCTCATCTCTCGTTCATCCTGCACTGTGGGTAATGCTTGGTTGTTCTCATAGTGTACAAGAATGGATCTTGTCAGTAATCCACCATAGTCTCTGCAAAGTATTTTTGCTGCATGCAGTACATACACACAAGCATACAAATGTGCTTGCATGTATTAAAAGTATGTACAGACAGATGTCTGTCTGTGTCCTGCTGGATGTAATAGATACATAATACCTGAATGGGTGCATATATTGAAAGAGATAATAATTAATGTCACTTAATGTATATTGATGCTTCTGTCTCATTTTTAATAGGTAACGGAGTAACCCTGATAGTAGATAATCAGCAACTAGACAAATGCAACAATAATCTCGCTGAAGAGAATGAAGCACTGGGAAAACCAAGAAATAAAACTTCAGAAACACTTAGTAAACATTCTTCAAATTCTTCATCAGGTCCCTTATCATCGTCATCATCTACACTGTCCAGCTCTAGTGATGTAGTAAGTTGGAGGTTTTCTGCATTTTGATTTTAAACTGTTCTCTTTATTGGTATTGCCACAGAGGACGTTTGGAAAGCATAGAACCAGAGTTCAGTATTTCATCCAGAATCCTAACCTGCGTAAATGTCCCCTCTTTTGCAGTTCTTGGACACGTAAATTGCAGTGTGTTTTTTGACACCTTGCATATAAGGAAGTCAGTGCAGTAGATACAAAGCTATATAGCCCTTTTTTATCTCTGTATTTTTTAAAAAGACTGGTAGTCCTAATCTGTACACTTAAAAAAAATTAGAATAGAAAATGTCTTAGAAATAAATCTGTTTTAATGAGATTTCTATTTAAAAAATAATAAATGAAAAATATTAGATTCCAACATTGGAATCATGAACCAATATGCTTTAAAATTAATCTGTTTAGTCAGTAAGAATTCTGAACTGAAAGTTTAATAAACAACATTTCAAGTTTCATCCATTGCTAGCTTTATTTCTGAGGGAAAACTCACTCACTTAAAAACATATTTGTTCTTAAGAAAAACTCCCTTATACTTTACATTTTCCTAAAGGATTCTGATGGAACACCTTGCAAAACCTCTAAGCAATTGAGTTGTCGCCAGCCTACAACAAACAGAGTGGGGTCACAAGAAGTATCACTGGAATCCTCCCAGTCAAGTGGGAAGACACAAAGCAGCCAAACAGGCAATACATCCAGCAACACGAACAAATCTCAGGTTTGTGAAATGTTTAAATGTTATAGCACATACCCTCTATGGAGGGATAGTTTGTTCTGGAAAGAAAACATTGTGTTTTTCTCCTTTGTTCCACTAGAAAACACTGAGTACTGTTTGCATTCAAGTCATCCAGTTCTCTTTCTAGCTTAGTTTTGTGCTTTTTCCAGGCTTAAACATAATGACAGTAGGATTGACTTTATTTTGGGAAGTCTAGACTAGTTACAAGTACGTGTTTGTGTTGTAAAAATCTTCTTCGCAAAAATTTTGTCAGTCCATTCTTAACTGCAAAGCATGAGAAATAATTGGACTTGTGTATGCTTCAGTACATAACAGTAAGCAAAAATGTGTGTGTAAAACAATGACTGACTGCTGTGTTAGCTGTTGATCTTTGCTGAAATGCCTTTTAGTAAAGGAGGTGAAGATGCTTGCTGGTACATGAAATTCCTTCTCCTTTCCCCTTAAATTCAGATATCTCTATGGTGAGACCTAACAGCTTATGCACCAGGGGATTTATCTTTTTGAAAAATACTTTGGTGACAGCTCAGTAATCTGGAAACACAATGTGCCTCTATATTCAGTATACCTCTGAATATATGCAGTTCAAATTTTTCTACTTCTTCAGAACTTAGGACTATTTTAATGGATGAAAAATAGTCTGGAACCTAGTGTAATGTTCCTGAAAAGTAAATTTGATGACTTGCTGCCTCCTGTTTGCTGATGTTCTCTAGCTAAGAATGAGACAGTTTAAACAAACAGGCCTTAGACGTACCATTCATGTATGTTTGTGTCATTGCACAGAGCCAGCTGTGGTACTGGCAGGTGAACACACACAACCTGAGGTATTGTACATCTGCAGAAAGATGTGATGTAAAATTAGTCTTGATCTTAAAGGAATGTTGTCTTAATTTGCACAGATTATGAGATTTGAGCAATCTTCATCTCTTCTCAGATTATGGAATTCTGTTTTTATATAACACTTTTCTGATGGTTGCACAGTGGGTGAAATAGAGCAGTTCTATCATTTTCAAAATTCAGAGTGCTGTATTCTTCACTCTGTTGACGTGTGGTTTGGATCTAGAGATGAGATTTGTTTGCAGCTGGCAAAATGAAAGATTTGTGGTTTCATTCTGCCGCTGAAACAATGGCCCAGCTTCTGCCTTGCCAGTTCCTTTGTGGACTCATTTTCATGAGCTGATGTCCTTGTTATCCCCAAATAAGTTTGTGTAATCGCCACGCTTTCTTCTTACCATGGACTTACTGGGCCCTCTTTCTCTTTGCAGCATGGATCTGCACGGTTATTCCGCTCGTCTAACAAAGGCTTCCAAGGTCCAGCAAATTCAAGCCACGGTACCTCAGTCACAAACAAACAACATCAAGGCAGCAAATCACACCATCAGTATTTCCATGGCAAAAAGAGGAAACACAAGAGGGATGCAGCCCTTTCAGACCTTTGTAGATAGTTGCCTATTTTATGACTGTTCTTCTGTGTGCAATGATCTCATGCTACAGGATAGTTTGATAGTGACTCCTTGGATCTCTTCCGGAGCTTCAGACTGTTCGGACATTGATTAGCAACTGCATTTTTTTTTCCCAGCTCGCCACGGAACGGATCATGAAGATTGATCACTGCAAAAATAAAAAATAATAATTAAAAAAAAAATAAAAAAAAGAAAAATAGAAAAAAAAAAGAAAAAAAATTAAAAAAAAAAAAAAATTTTAAAAGGAAAAAAAAAAAAAGGAAAAAGTCTGCTCATTTGATAAGTCATATGCTACAACAGGGTCATTTAGGATATAAAAGCTTGAATGTAAAATAAATGTATTTCCCATCAGCTCATGCTGACCTGTAGGGGTAGTACTCAGTGTGTCTAAGGGGTGGTTAACAAAACACAGAAAATAGGAAAAGAATAAAAAGGCAAAAATTGTATTTTGAGGGAAACCCAGCCTTTAAACGTGAAAGTAATTTGTGCATGATTTTTTTATTATTTTTGCATATACTTACCATTTTATTGTGTATATATAGATGACCATATAGGAAAACTGACATTTGTAATAGTGGATTTGTTAATACTTTTTACATAACATTACTGTTTAAATTGTAAACATAAATTTTTCTCAGGATTAGTTTGGAAAATAATCTGAATTGTCATCTTAACATCCATATAAAGAGACATTACTAGTTATATTGCTCAGAATTTCTTTTCTTGGCATTAAGGTTTAATAGAACATTTGATCTGCAAAAGCTGTTCCTCTGGAAGAAAGTTTTATGGTGACAAATGAAACATTTCATTTGTATAAGTGTAGCTGTACTTTGTGTAGACACTGAGCTTGTCATCTCGGAGAAGTAACTTTCACCTTGTTTTCTAGAGTGCCATCATTTCAGGGCAGTGGGGTTTTATAGTTGCACCCTTCTCTTCCTCCCCTTAGTGGTCCTCCCTCCCTCTTTTTTTTTTCTTTTTTTTCTCATTTTTTTTGATGTAAGCCACTTTGGGGAGGGCTGGTTGGTTGGTGTTGGTGATTCTTTTTTTTTTTTTTTTTCTTTTTTTTTTTTTTTTTTTTTTCCCCCTTAGTTTAAAAAAACAAAACCAAAACAACTCGGTTTGCTACAGGCCGTTTGCATTCCTGGGCTGCTTGGATCCCATGCCTCTTTGTTTGTGCCTTCCCTCCCCATTCTAGGTCTGGTTTTTTGTCTTTTATATTTTTGCTAACTCCTGTAGGAGATGATAACTGTTGAAGCTTTAAGTAAATTTTACAATTAAAGTATTTTTTCTCACTCCCCTCTAAGGCATTTTTGTATTTACACTTAATTATTATTAAAAAAAAAAAAATCAAATGATGAAATATATTTTGTATTGCCTTAAAAACCCAAACCTTTCATATCTCATAGTATCTCTTCGTTGAAGTAATTATCACTAAATTCAAACTCCGCATTTGTCTGGTTCAGTCACGTCAGCCTCGCTGCAGTGAGCTCCATGCCACGAGCGCCCATCAGATGCGTAACTGCAGGTATCGCTTGGAAAAGGGGCTGGGACACTTCAGTGCTAAAATGTTGAGTGGCATTTACTTTCACACGTTTCTTTTAAGAGGAAAGTTTGTACCCGGCGTACGTGGCTGTATTTAATGCAGCTGTTCTGGAGATGTTGCTTTTATAAGAAGTAGTGTTAGCTTTTCTTTTTTTAGTGCGTATACAGTTGTGGATTCTACAGACCAACCTGACCTTTGATGGGCACTAATGAGTGCAATGATTTTTAAAGTAAAAAAAAAAAAAAAAAAGCACAAATAAGACCAGAACTGATGTCATCACTTAAAGGAATAAACATTTTCAATGGTAAAGTGTTTTACTTCAAAAAGGAAAGAATACATATATATACTCCAAAAGCGTGGAAAGTCCTAACAGTTACTCAAACACTAAGCTTAAGTGATGTTAATTTGACAATATTTAAAAAAGAAATTAGATTCATATTTTAATTTGATCAGATAATTTTATCCACAGGACGTTGAGCTTTTATTCATAGAAACTAGTAAAAGTTATACCACATTATGCATAATCACAGTATTTATTTTGTTTTAGATTATTGTGAATGTGTAGACTTATGTTCACCGCTTAGGGAACAATTATTTATAAATTATATTAATCCAGTATTGTTAGCTGCTATTAGCAAAACTGTTCCAAAACTAAGTACCTGCAAAGATCTGTATCGCATTTACCACACTGAAGTGTTTTTAAAAGAATCACCCTCATTGTTGAAAGCAAATGTACTCTTAGGGTGCAGATATTAGTGTTCCAATAAGCATGTGATAATTTTAAGGTGGTGGTAGCGGGAAGATAATCTTGATTCCATTGGGAATCTTAGGTTTGCCTCAATTTATGGTTTTCATAAATTTAATGGAAAATAGCTTTTCCTGGACTGCTCAAGTTTCTTTTTGGTAAACAGTATCTTTCTAAAAGAAAAAAAAAAAAAAAAAAAAAAAAAAAAGCATGAAGGAAGAATTGAGGTATTTTACATTGCCTCAAATGACCAGCATTGTATTCATAAAATACTGTATATCTTGCAAATCTTTATTTAAACAGAACAGTTGAACTGTTCATTTTTCAATCTGAAGTAAAATACTTTCAAGACCTTTTAGTTTGCCTGCTCATTTGTCTTGTACATTTCATCTCTGTATTTGACTCAAGTCTAATTCCTTTTTGAGTTTCAATACTTTTGTGAAGATTTTGTGAATATATGAAAAATAAATGTTTAATCTAACTACTGCAGTTTATCACCATTCTTGGCACTCACCCTGTTTTTGCCTTCACAGTACTGAAATAACAGAGTGTTCAAAGCTCTTTAAGGTTTTGTAGTATCTGGGTGCTTCACCCGCTGGTTGCTGGGCACCTCTACCTTTTGCAGAGGTGGGCCTGCCCTGCAGCTTTTCACTTTAAGAGAGCTGAAGCAGAATATTCTGAGAACAAGTTGTAAGGATATACGTGTATACAGGTTTTTTTTTACTATGACCTTTCTTTAATTTCCCTCCGTTCTGAATGTAGGCAACTTGTCCAATCTTGTGTTCCATTTGGAGTTGTCCAAACCTTGCATTCTGAGCAGGGCATTGTGGATGTACACAGAAGTTAATGGCAGTTGCCTTTGGTGGAAACTTTGTTAGCACAAATCCTGAAGCATGGCTGATTTTTACGAGTTTATGCACTTAATTCTATTAACTAATTATAAATAATTATGCAATTCCTTGCATAAATCGGTAGCAAGACATATACGTATTTACGTATTGAATTCTTCCTTGCTGTGCCAGTTTGATAACACAGGCCATCTAAAACATCTAGAGATGCTGAAATGCTTGTACATCCTGTTGGGACATCGGATTGGTGGTTTGGTTGTTAGCGTTTTTAAAAGGTAGCTCAGATTGTTTTCATTCTTAAAAAGCTGTGTAGTTATTATTTTTTTTACAGCCATTCTTCTACAGTGTGGCAAAAAAAGAAGCTGAAATGTAAGTCAAGCTTTGTTTGTGACTCATGACATGATTCTCTTTACTCACCTCCTACGTTCCTTGTAGGATTCTCAGAATTTACATTTTGGATTTTCAGTCTTGAAGTTGCAGGAAAATAATTTTGTTAATCTTTTGAAAATAATAAGCTTTACAATTGGTGGCAAACTTTCCTTTTAAATGTACTTCAAAAATGGAAAGTTTCCATTTCTGGAGTCGTCTTGTATGCTTCCTAAATGTAATGTGAGCAAGTGGTTAGACAATGGTCTTATCATGAAAACGGACATTAAGTTAAAGAGGTCAGCATCTTGACATCTGATGGGTGCTAAAGCTCGTGTTAGATGTTACCATGTGACTCCAAAGCAAAACAAACAAACTATGCAATTACTTTAGAAAGAGGAATGCCCCATTCAGGGGCTGCAACAAAAAATACATTTAATTATTCCAGCCAGTGTTAAAGTGAAAAAACTAGTGACTACTTACACTGCTGGTTCCTACAACTTGATTCTTTTGCTTAGAAATGCAATTTTCTAGAATCAAATCTGCTGTCTTGCAAGTGTTTCTCTCTCCTGAAAGGGAAAACATATGAGAGCTTTATTTTCTAATCTGTAGTGCTTCCGTGAGCTTGTTAAATAGCTTCTCAAAAATGTTTTCCAGTTGCAGTGACCAAAGTGTTAGTGTGTCTTGTCTCTTCATCCATGAGCTATTGACCAGTACTTCTGATAGACAGCTATTCGTGGCTTCACCTGTAAGTTGAAAGCAGCTTCGTTACTTCGTGGTCCTAAAATCTGTCACACTTGCAGAGCTCCTTCTGTTAAAGTTAATGGTCTTTTTCCAGTAGTAGTTTGTTCTGAGCCTAATTACTGATCTTCAAAGGTTGGTGATTAGGATGTTTGAGATAACCCCAGAGAAATGATCCAACACATAGAATCCTCTCTGAGTTACTTAATGGAATGCTGTTCTGAGTAATAGAGGTAATAGAAGAATTAAAAGTTAGATAGCCTTATTAGGTTGACAAGCCCAAAATTTGAGCATCTACTTGAAAAAGGAATAAAGTAGCCCAAAACCAGTTATTTGTGCATTTTAGTATGATGGTGCTAGATTAATTTAATCTATATTTTAGGTCACACAAAAACTTAGATGAGTCAATTTTCAATAGCTTTGATGTTAACTCTTATTATCTAGTGACTTCCCTACCATAGCCATTTTATTAATTTCTACCAGAAGTGTGGTGCCTTTATTAGACTTCTCAACCACAGACATGGTTGGGGTACCGTTCATACGATTCTTCCATTGCAGTAACTACTTCAAATAATTGCTTCTTCCCATTTGTTTGTTGTCCTACATGCCAACCAGTGGTGAATGTGAGTATGAAGCGGGGAAAGGAGAAAGAAAAAACATACATTTTGTTTTCTACGAATGAGTTGGTAAAAATTGATGGGATCCTGAAAGTCGTTTGTGTATGCAAATAAGCAAGAGAACACCAAGAGAAAATGAATAGAAGAAATCTTGGAGATACTCCACGTAAAAGTCTGATAGAGGAATGCAATCTTTTTGCCTTCCAAGATGAACAATGATGAGACACCACAAGGCTTCCGGTGAGTCAGTTTGCTTGAGCATTCCTTCTCATCAGGTACTGAATGAGCTGAGCAGTACATCTGCTCACCACTGAAGCCTGTTAGATTCCTATGCTCCCCAGCAGCTATAAACTGCTACAAAGGCATTTATTAGCAGTCAGGCTCATTCTAATTTGTCTTGCTTCTGCTTTCTCCTGCTAGGTGACTTTTAAAAGATGCCGTTTTAATCCTTGGTTGCTTTTAAAAAAAAAATAATAAACAAACAAAAACTTGCTAACTTGAGTCTTATAGTCCTTTTTTTTTTTTAATTTTTATTTTTACTATTAAGCCAGCCTTCAGTTTTGTGGTGCAAAGTCTTGGTAGTGAATGTGGTATTTATCAGACCCTGTCCAGCCCTCTACAGAGAGGCAGGAATTGAGGTGAAGATTGATAGAGTTTTGAAAGGAATATTTGAAAGGAAGATTATCTTCTCTGAATGTAATGTTCCCACCTTAAAAAACAAAACAAATCTGCTTCACTGGTCTGCACACAACAGGTTGTTTCACCTGAGAGTGTGAATATATATATATTTCTGTTTCTTTATTTTACAATGCCATTGTGGTTTATGTGAAGTACCATGCTGTGGTTACTGTTTGTATTTCCCTTGTCCTATGGCCTTTCCAAACAGGACTGCTGTCATTTTCACAGCAAATAAGGCACGGTGAAGTTTGAGGTGCTTGTTTCATATTTTTCTTCATTGCAGTAGATTTTGAATCAGACTAATTTGTGGTTGTCTGGTAATCAGTAACTATGAGAAGACCATCCTCAGAAAAATCAATGGCTAATCCAACAGCAGGTGGAAATGTTTCTTACTTTCTTCCTTCACTGCTAGCTTGTTTGCCTTTTCAAAATTTTTAACAGTGCAAGGGAATAATAAAGTATAATAAAGTAATGTAATACAGAAAATATTTTTTACTTATAGAATAAATTTTACTTATACCAAAATGTGTCTTACTAAACATATGTTATGATGTTAACTTGCATCCCTCAAGGTGACAAAATAAAGCAGTCCAATTTCTGAAAACCTCAACCACATCAGAGCTGCAGTGTGTGCCACCTGCTGAATGACTTCTGTGCAGTGTCTAACAACATACTCCATGTAAGAAAGGTAGTTCAAAGGTTTCTGCTTTATAATGTTTGTACATAGATGCTAGGAACTTAAGGTAGCAGGAATTTGTCTGGTGCTGCTGAGTTTCATCTCCATTCCTCATACATCCCACATCCCAGAGCTACAGGTATGGATGAAAAAATCAAACTTTGGTGCTTGGAGGAAAAAAAGTTTAGACAGTATCAGCAGGGTTCAGAAGCCAATGGGCAGGAGCTGCCTGCCCCTGAGAGAGGAGCTGCTGCAGCAGGGGCTGTGCTTGGCCTGGCATCTCCCTGTGTATGCAGGGACTGCCATGGGCGGCTCCGCTGACCGGACCTGCCTTCCTAGACAAAGAGCTTTATTTAAATGCACCTAGCATTTAAGGATTTCTCCATTCTTGAGAGGAAAGTCACGTGATGCTTTATCAAAACCAGAACAAACTTCTCAGAGTACGTTGGCAAACACCAAAGTTAGGAACCTGGAAGCTGAAGAATTAACATAAAAGGGAAGGAACTCAGACTTTCATAGGTACAGAGGGTGCTGGTCAATAGAATAACAATAGAACAACAATAGAAAACAGCAGTTCATTAAATAATGCCAATTCTCTTTGTGCAGGTATCAACAGGCAAAAATCCCATGAAAAACAGAGTACTTGGGCTGTGTGATGAGGTACTGTGTCTGTACCTTCGGGAGAGTCTGAATATCCTAATGTGGCTTAGTAAGGAAGTACTAGTTGGTAGTTAGTGTAGTTAATAGGAAAACTGCAGTTAACAATTTTGATGAGCTGGTGCATCAGTAAAAGGACATAAATTAGAACTGATGTTTACTTTCCTGATCTCACTATAGGAAGTTCTTCCCTTTCTTGTTTCACGTCCTCTTCGATATTTCAATTTTTACACACTTCCTCTAGTTCTGTGACACATCTGGCCTGTACAGGAAACCTCAGCCATCGTCCATTCCAGCTGCCAGTTGGCATCAATTAAGAATTTATGTAATCCATTTTCAACACAGTCATAGCTTTTGATACAGCAGAACTCCGTGATTTCAAAATAACAAAAAACTAAAGCATCTATCATCTTAGTCCCTCTCAGCTTTGAGATAATCATGATATTAAAATGCTTGAAAATGCCAAATACTTGCAGGAAAGCACAGGTTTTTCTCAGTATAAAGGATAAAGGGGAGGAGTATTGTCTATTAAAATCACAATCACCACCTAAATCTAGTGTTCAAGAAGTCAGATATTTCCTTAAAACTCCATGTAATGGGGCTATGTTGATTTAACCAGATGATTTTGCCCATGCTTTCTTTTTTCAATTGTTTCAAAACAGGCTTTTTTTTTTTTAAGTAAAACCATATTTTCCAGTGGACTCTACCAACTTCCTGTTCTAGGACAGCTCATGCAAAAGCAATTTTCCCTGATAATACACATGGTCTGTTTGGCCCTTAGTAATTTACCCAAAGTTTTCTGTTTGATTTCCAATATGTCCTTGTGGCTGCTAATGTGGAGACACTGGAAGTGCAAACTGAGAGCAGTTAGCTATTTTCACAGTCAATGATAAAATGATTTAACCTTTTCTGTTTTCCTTAAATCAATCAATAACATTGTCAGTTTTATTAGAAGCCCCACCTGCAGCGTTGCAGTACCAAACAGAGAAATGTCCTTTTATTTATTTTCTTCCCTTGTGTAACTTAGCAGTTAAGGAGGAGTGACCCCTCAATAAGGTCATCACGATAGTTTTTTCAGCAAGCACAGACTGGGTCTGCTGTCACTCAGCATTGTTGTGAACAATTCAATTTCTAGAAGAAAATGTTACATTTTAATATAACTTCAATATACAGAAGCACTTTAAAACGGGTCTGACCTGTGGCTCTTGGTGCAGTCCTGATCACACCCACGAGCGCAGCTGGAAGGTTTTAGCCGTTGGCCAAGCACTGATTTTAGGGCACGATGCACATTCTTGCTCTGCAGAAAGAAGCATGAGAGAGAAAGGAAATGGAAATACTTCTCTGTTTCTTAATTGACTTAAGAAGTCAACAAACCTCGCAGCCAAGGCTGCAAAGCTGGAGAAATCGAGTGGTGAGACTTGGACTGCAAAGTTCTTCATTTCCTTTAGAAGCTGGCTTATTAGCGCCTTTGTTACAGCAGTGCTTCTTTTGGTCCACTGACAACCATCCTGACCTCTTCAATGGTTTCACATTGCTGTGAGTTTGTGTTGGTTTTCAAGTTTTCTTTGGAGAAGCTGCTTTTATAGAACCAAGTCCCACTGACTTTCACAAAATACAGAACAGTAGAAAATGTGACCTTGGTTCCAAGGCAGTTAGACTGAGAATTTTAAAACAAATCACAGCTGTGACAAGAAACCTGAGCAGCTTTTCATTTGCCTAGAGATGCATGTAACTCCTGTAGATTTTATGCTTTACAGAAAAGTAGCAAATTATTCCCAAAAGTTCCTTAAATTGATCCAATAGCCCAGGAATGCAAGCTACATAACAGTAGTGAAATTCTACCTTCTTTTTATTGTAGCTGATGCAGTAAAGTATTTGCATTTAACATCATAAACGTAATGGTCTTCAGCAATCCATTCTAATACTGTCTCAAAAATGAGGATGATATCAATGTAACAGCTCAAAATAATTTCCCTTTCCTTTCCTCCTAAGCACGTAGAGCCAACCGCTTCAGGACTGTGGTATTATCAGACATCTTTGAACTCACAGATTTACAGGAAATAGCACAAAATTTACCTGAGCTATTCGTCTTGCTCTCTAAATGAAGTTAAGGCTGTCTTGGTTGCTTTTTCTTTGGTTAGCTGCAAAAGGCAGCATGATAAAGCACGCTTTCCTAAATGCCATCTGCTCAGCAACTGTCCCTTGAGCACTACCTGACTCATGTATGGGAGCCACAGAACGCCTCAGTGTCCAAAGTCTTTGCAAATAAAACTATTTAAAAGTTACTTATTGGGACTCAATTTACCCCTCTTTCTACTATGAATAGTGCAAGAAAGAATATCCTGTAGGCAGATTCAACCCACAATGACTTAAGAATTAAGGCACCCCCCATTAGAATTACAATTGCAATCTACACTGAAGCATACATCCTTATTGTACAAAGCAAACCTCTGCAATGCTCTGTAACTCAATTTGCAAACAGTGCTGGAAATGGATTTGGTAGAAACAACACATCAACAACTAATTCAAATAGAAAATTGGAAAAGAGTTTGAATTTTGTCATGCTAGATCTCATCAGCTAATGTGTTGCATTTTATTTTAATTGAATAACTATAACCTATCATAAATCTAGATTTGTGATTCAGTCTGGAAGGTTTAGATGCATGTTTAGTGCTCTGGTCCTATATGTGCAATACCTGCATTTTTAAGAGGTTTTTTTTTTTCTCCCCCTTTTGTAGGACTTCTTCTCTAAACAAGTGCTTGAAAATCATGAAGCTTGCTTGTCTATGGATAACACAGCTTCACAGTATCACACTGTACAGCTGTACATATGTACAGCTCTCACATGCACACAGGTCATTTATATGGGTCTGAAGGTGCCAACAGACGAATGATTAATTGCAGGCTGGTGCTCAGGCAGAGCTGCTTGCAATGAAGCTGCAGTGCTGCAGGAAAAGACAAGGGGAAGTGTGTGCTGTATGTAGTATGTGTGGGAGCCAATGGATTGTATCTTACAGTCTATACTTCGCTTTTTTTGCTTTTACATCCATTTTGCTAGAAATGAGTTGTAGTTATCCAGTTTAATCTTCATAGCAGTTCTCATATAGCACTTCTGGTGTTCTGGAACTGCTGCTGTTAAAAAGTTACAGCATCAGTAGTACTGAATCATGCAGAATTTTATATCTTCATGTGGGACAGCAAATGGTTGTGGGTATACGGAGCTGATCTGAAGGAACTGGTGTGCTTGGGAGGTCCACAAACTTGTGATGAAGTCCAGCTGTTCTGAAGTAAGTCCACTGATGATCTCAGAGCGATGCATTTTCCATTTCCTGCAGGTTTTTTAATCCAGTTATCTACTCCAGCTTTCATTGAAGAGGAATTCTTTCTAACACGTGTTTTGCTGGAGGATCTTTTTCTCCCTCTCCCGATCCTGGCCTGTGCGGCCTTAAAAGTTTCCCTTCCACCTCGAGCGGTTCTGCGATGCTACGAACTGATAGAACTAGGTTTGAATTCCCCATCCCACAAAGCGCTCCCGGTCGGCAGTCTCACGAAACGCTTCCCGTTTGCAATATCCGAACGGGAGCGTGAGAGGCGACCGGAGCGCTTGCGGTGCGTGCGAAGCACTGCTCCCCGCGGGGCGAGCCGAGCGCGGGGCTCCGGCCTGAGGAGAAGGATGGAGCGAGCGCTGCCCACGCGACACCCGTAGCCTTCAATGACCGCACCGAGCCGTGCGACGGCGGCGCGGCTGCGGGGCTCTGGCAGACGGCGGGGCCGCCCCCGCTGACAGCCCGCCGGGACGAAGGCTGAGCGGAGCCCGTGCGCCGCCTTACAGCTCCTCGCGCCGCCGCCAGGAGGCGGGAAGGGCACGACGCACAACGCCCCGCGCGCACGGAGCCTCCCGCGGACACCTCGGAGACGGCGGGACGAGGAGGAGGAGGGAGCAGCAGCGCCTGGTGCCGACCCGCCGTCCACCGCTACCGCTTCTCTTCCGGCCGCCGCAGGTGAGCGCTGGGCCGGGCGTCCCTTCCCTTCTCGGCGGCGGGGGCCGGGCGGGCGGGGCCGAGAGCGGCCGCGCCCCGGAGGTGAGGGGCCCCTGGGTGAGGGCGCCCCGCCGCTGCGATCGCCGTCCGCCCGGCCCTGGGGAACCTCTGCCTGCAGGGTAAGGGAAGCCGGGGCGCGCTCGGCCGGGGGGAGCCCCGATCCGCTCCGCTTCATCGCTGCGGCTCGCGCCGGAACGCTGCCGGAGCGGCGCGCCGTGCGCGGGATGGCACCCAGCGACTTACCGTGGTCCCCATAGGGTTTGGGCGGTTCCACTAACGAAGGAAGAGAGAGGCTGAAAGAGCAGAACTTGCGGAAAGTAATAGCGAGGCGTGCTGCGCCGCGTGCGGGCAGCCGGCGCGGTGTCAGGCCCGTGCTGCTTTCGCTGGGTCGGCTCGGCGTGCGGAGCCCTGAGCCGAGAGCTGAGCCGAGAGCTGAGCTGCGCTGAGAGCCGCGCTTTATGCCTGCACAGCGAGCACACAGAGAGCAGCTCGTCCTGCTGGAGGATTCCGGGTCCCCGATTGCGTACTTTTTCAGTCTATTCGAGTTTTACTTTAGGGAAAGAAGTATGTAGGTTGCTCCAAAAGTAATGCCTCCTATTCTTTTTTCTTTTAAAGAAACTTCAATAGTTACAAAGACCAATACTGTTGTTTGGTAGAGTGAATTCTCAGCAACAGAACACTATTTTTCAACGCAGTCGTGACCGTTTGCTCTGCAGCAGCAGAGGTACCGCACTGTCACTATTGGCGCTGCTGAAATGCACCACCTACTGCCTCGCTGTACTCACATCCACTGCTTGGTCTCCATAAGCATTCAGCAAATGCTGATATTAAGGGATGCCATTTTTTCTGCATGTAGGATTCCAGTGACACACCTTTCCTTCATCTTCACTTCCATGTCAGACATCATTTTATCAGACTGCCCCTCTGCTGCTATCTGTTGCGTGGCAACAAACTGTAATTGTGCCTGGTGGGAAGGTACAACCTCTGCTGCCATACCACCGACATTTGCTTCTGCCGTTGTGGGCCAACACAATAAAATAGGAGGTATTTCTTTTGGAGCAGCCTTAGTGCTTAAATCTCCAGAGAAGACTGAAATGTGTGAGGCGGGTTGGCTCATGTCTCTTTGTGCTGCAGAAGCGGCGTGTATCATTCAGCTCTGCTCTTGGTAGGAAGCTTAACAGCGTTACTGCACTAAGCGAGCATGCTTAACTGAGGGATTCAGACATCTCCACATGTATGATGTGATGTCTGTTCACCACCATTTGGTCTCATTACGTTTGCTGGAGGCAGGTAAAGCATGTCAGTGAGAAGAGTCATCTATCCAGCTGGTGTTAGCAGGGACCCAGGGCCCTTTTAGAGGCTGCCTTGTGGTGTGCAGAAGTGTTGAAATCTGATGAAGCCACTTGAAACCATTTTTGGATACTAAAAGTAAACACACAGTGTAGTGTTTGCATTTGGCTCAGCATAGAAGCCCACTTCTCTCCTGTCAGTGTGCAGCTCTTTATTTGTATTGCTCTCTGCCTTACACGCTTGGTCGTGGACCAAGACCACGTTGTGCTGAGCGCTGTGCAAATATTAGGGGGAGTCCATGCAAATGGTTTGGATTCTGAGGCTGTTGTGATTTATTGTAGGAAATAAAATGTCCTCTGCTGGACACAGGGGTATGAACGTTACTACAGAGTGGGACATGCACTGATGGTTTTGCTGCTTTGTGCTGTAACTGAGGATGCTGCAATCTTTTCTATTTATTTAAAGCAAGAAACAGGCTGTGAAATGTTTTATTATTATTAAGCAAGCAGAATTCCAGGGGAGAAAGAGAGAGTTTTGGGGAAGGTTTAATGCTTAGTGATAGGTGCGAAATAAATAAATGCTGTAGTGCTTGTGGGTTTTTGTTTATTACAAAGATATCCCATCTTCCAGATGTTGAAATCCTGATCCGGAAGCTTTTAAAAGGTCCCCTGTGGGCAGGAGGACGATGTGTGGCAGGTCTGTGGTAAGACCCGTGTGCACAGGGTATACTTGTGTGAAATAAGTGCTTTGGAATTAAGTATTCTGAATTGCAGTGGTTGACAAAGTCATCATGCGTTGACATTTCCCTCTATCCAGAGATGTAGAATGGAAAATAAGAATGAGAAGAACCAGCCTGGAAGCAAGAGGGCAATACTGGTTTCTAATGGCCATTAAAGGACGTTATTTGTGCTTCCAGAAGCCATTACTTACAGCAGTTAGGGACATTGGGGGTTCTTGTAAAGCAGCCATTAAGCTTCTTAATTTTTTTCTTAATGAAGCTAATGTCAACACCATTAAGAGAAAGCAGGGAAGGCACTTCATTCCCTAATGTATGTGCATCCTTACCTCGTGGTTTGTGCTAAGTGAAAGAGCAGGTGCTGGTGGAGAGCTAATTAGCTGAGGTGTTAGCCTAGAGACAGATGAACGCAGCCTTCTGTTAATGTGGGTGTCTGTGTAATTGCCAGTGGCTCTGGGATCAAAAAGAGGAAAGACGGTGTTCCTTGTGGAATTACCAAAAAATGAAAAATATAAATTGAAATCTTACTGATGTGTTTGTTGGAATAAGTTCTTGACGTAACGTAACAGAATTTATGGAAACGATCACTTTTAATGTGTTGTAAAGGCTTTAAAGCGTAGGGTGAAGCACTTCACCCGGAGATTCCTCCCTCAGTCTGAATGTCTGTGATAGAGCTATGTTGATCTGTTTGGAAAAGCACCCGGCTGCCTGATGGCTTGAGAGGGTTTGGTTGCTGTATTAGGGGAATGAAATGTAGCACTGAGCAGGGCTTCTGTTCAGATCGTCTTTTGGGACTTCTATGGGAAATATACGTATGTTTATCAATCCAGGACCGTTTGTTTACACTAAGTGACCTGGAGATGAAGGCCGTGTGGGAGGTGGGACTGGAGGTGTCTGGGCTGCAGAGGGCTGTCTGCTGGTAGGCACCATCTGGAGGGCTGTTCTTTCGCAGGCTGAGCTCTGCTCAGCACATCTTCTATTAAGTGAGTATCTGCGAACTTTCAAGATGATGATTTGCTAACCTGACAGGATGTTACAGCGTGAAGGAGTTTGTAACCGTTCTGCAGGCAGATCGTCCTGCATCAATATGAGGAAGTGCAGCTTCTGCCTTAGGCCGCGAGGTACGTGCCTTGTGTGCAGTGCTGACAAACAGGCCTTCTGCTCTCAAAGTGTAAAATAGGAATAGAATGTAGAATAGAAACTTCTGCTGTTTTTGCCCTTTGCTCTATACCCTGCCCTGCCTTCCTTCATTCGCCCCAAGGAGGCTCCCGGCTCTGTCCCACAGTGCCAGCTGCTGCCGTGGTGGTCTGCAGTGCATTTCATCTTTCATTCTGCACGTGTTTTTCTTTGCTTAATACACACAACAGACAGCAGTGCGAGTACTTTATGCTGTGATACTCACTGCACATCATCTGTGGGCTCCTACTCTAGCTGAGCCTCATCTCTTCAGAGTTAGAAAGATAAGACTCAAAAGGTGAATTCATTTCCTCCAGGTTCTGCAGAGACAGATGAAAGGGTAATGCTGAAGAGGAATGTGGGATTGCCGTTCCTTCTCTAATGGAGGCATTGCTTTAGCTCAGCAGCTTGTAGTTATTACATGGATTTTTAGTAAGATGTGTCCTTCAAATAGGAACGTGATTTGTTTTGTGTAGCCTGATTTCAGTAATGTTCTATGCAACTCAAGCTGGTGTTCTGTGACAGCCAGGCTGCTGTTTTGCTCTTTATGGCACAGTGTGAGTTCAGCAGCTCCAGTCTGTCTGTGGTTTAGAGACAAAGCCACGTCAAAGTTGGCTCAGGGCTGCAATGCTGCTGCTTTTCTGAAGAGCCTCCTTGCAGCTCATGGCACTATGCATTAGCAGCTGTTCTGCAATCCTCATCTCAGCATTAGCACAGCTTTCTGGCCTGTAATTAGACAGAAGGAACAAGCAGGGTGTGTTTAGCTTCTGTTTTTTGACTTAGAGCTAAGTGATTAAGTAACATGCTGTAGTTAGTACAGAAATAACAAAGACTTCCAAGGCTGTAACTGAGGTGTACATAAGAGGAAGGTGACAGGTGTCTCTGGATGTGGCTGTTTGTGGCAGCCTCACTCTGTAGTGCCTGCTTGCTGCCTGATGTCTGCCCGGGTGTGAGCTCAGTGCCGGCAGCGTGCAGGGCTTCAGCTGTGTGAGGTGTTCCCAGCTGCCTTCCTTGTGTCCTGCCTTCAGTCTGCTTCCATCACGGGGCTCTTTGTCGTCCTCTGCTCTCCGTGATGCATGAGCCAGTACTGCTCAGCCTGGGTGCTGTCGTTCATCCCACAGTTAAGGAAACATGTCTTTCTGAGATTCCCAGCGAGTATAGTCATAAATTCCCTTTTGATAACATTGCCTTGTAGTTGACCACGAGTGTCCTCTTGTACTGTAATCAATATTAAAATCTGTTTAAAGGACTTTGATTAAGTCCTAAGGTCTTACAGTGCGTACTTTATATTGGGGGAGGAGGGAGCGTTAGCCTTTTATAGGCAGGTAAATGTTGAAATAGCC